CTCCAGTGGTAAATAATCTAAACATTTTGGTTGTCTTTAGCCAATGCCTTTAAAATCCCAGCATTTCAGGCAGATGGTAGCTGTTCACCAAATCATTACCATCTTCCTTGCTGTTTATTCAGTGATATGTCCCAAACATAGCAACCATCTTCACAACCTCCCAGCAAGTATTGATCCAGGGAAGAAGGTACCAGACAGAGACGCAGAGGAGTGGATGGAGTGTCCAATGTCAGCAACTGGCTGAAAAAAAAAAGTAAAGAAATGTTAACACTACCAGACATTAACATGTATTGCTGGAGCTTCAGATCTGAACAATACACAACATACAAAAGGAACAGATGCATTTTGCAGCTTTCGTTTTCCCTATTAGCTTTTTATGGGCTGTTGAAAAAACTCTATTTACAGACTTAAGGTGCAATTTACACACCACAGCTGAATGACAAACAGCAGCAACTTAAACCTTACCCAAGAGCTAAATATGACATTTCAGGCAGACAAAACCAGCTACAAGGCAGACTGCTACTGCTGTGCCGTCTGATTGGCTACTCCATGGCATTGAGGGAATGCTTTGTCATGTATTTTATTTTGTCATGTGTATTTGTGAAACAAATATTGTATACAATATAATAAAAAAAACAGATATGACAGCATTTTAAAACCTTAGAAACCTATTTAGATTACAGTTAAAATTAAAATCTTTTAATGTGCAGGTTCGGGTTTGCGTGTGACAGCATGTAATTGTGTGCAGCCACGTCCTCCCATAGGGAAGAACAGGCTGCTGCCTTGCACAATTACACGCAGCACCCGTCCCTTCTGGAATTTGGTCTTTTTACAGGTGTGCACATCTGAATGAGCGCTTACTGTTCTGTACTTGACACCTAAAAAATTGTGCCTGTGCCATCCCCATGCCCCATCACACCTTGCTAACAGCACAGGTTCCACGAGACAAAGTATTGCATTATTTCATAGCTTGAGGAAAACTTTTCCCCCCTTTCTTCCAACCCATTCATGTGTTGAATGAAAGGGATGAGATGAGGGAACGGCTGAGATGGAGAAACGGCTACATATGAAAAAACATTGAAACACCTGCAGATTTCCTAGGAGACAGAAACTTAAAGGAACACTATGGTGTCAGGGCTTTTCCCCATAGTTCTCCTTAGGGTAACGGGAGGACACAAACTAGCGTCCTCCCATTACAGCTCGCGGTATACTGAGACGCCGGAGCGGATCCCGACATCGATGTCGAGATCCGCCCAGCTGAGTGAGTGACATCTGGCTCTGCCTATCTAGAGGCAGAGCCAGCTGTACCCGCCCCCTCCCCCGTCCGTTCCGCCAGTCAGCGCTGGCAGATCGGAGCGGGGAGGGGGGAATCCAGTGCCTCCCCTGTCACGGCAGAGAGCTGTGACTGGATCGAGAGGTGAGCGAACGCCGGTATATCTTCGCTCACCTCCCGATCTACTGAGCCGACCTGTGACAGTCTCATTGGCACAGGTCGGCTAGAACTATGAGGTGAGTGAAAAGCACTCACCTCATAGTTCTCCTTTAAACGTAACATTTTATGTAAACATCCTTCACAAAAAGGATTGCAATTGTATTCCAAGTTCATTATGTGCTTATGTTATATGCCTTTATTTTTTTAGATCCAAGCAGTGCCTCATAGTGTAACATTTCTTGCTGCAAATAATAATAAGTAGCAGATAATAGCGAATACTTGTATAGCTTACCTTGCTCTAAAGTTGTATTCATAGTCAGGAACCCCTATATCCCATAAAATGATTCTCTTGTCATAGGATCCAGCTTACATAAAACAAAAAAAACAAAACATTTATTAACCAAATAGACTAGGTTTCCCCTTAAACTATGAAATTACTTTAACTAGTACTCTCGTCAGGGAAGGTCAGGGTCAGACGAGTGCAAAGTGAACCTGACTTGGCCTAAAAAGTGCCCAAAGTAACAAAAGTGCTGAACTGCAGATAACTCGTGTGCCTTCAACTCAATCGCTGTGCAGCCCATCAGATCTCAGACCCAGGATATACACCGGGCCTTCAACTTGTCTCCAAGTTAACATTAAGCCCTGACCCCTGTATTTCAATTGTCATATACAGTATCAGAACAACAGTAGGTAGTAGAGGCTCTGGAATTTGAACATGTAGAGTAAAAGTATTGAACATGTTTTGATAACCATCTTGTTTTTAATGGGAAAAGTATTCGCCTATTATTAGACAGTACTGCTAAAGCTTAAGTTCCATGCAGATATTATTTGTCTGTTTAGATGCACTTACTGAAAAGAAAGGTGTCATGTGCTGGGCTGAAACACATGATGGATATGGCTTTTTTATGAGCTTTTATCTCTCCATAGCACATGTTGCCTTTGGGATGCATCAGTCTGACTACTCCATATTTTCCACCAGCTGCCAAGACATTGATATTTCTCTTCTGTCCCTCATTGCTTATCATGGTTAGTGTCGTCCAGGCCAGTGCAAAGAATTCCTAAATTGGGAGATTTTTTTATTAATTCTGTTAGAGGCAAAACTGTAAGCATATTTTTAAACTTTGAATTTCTGCACTAAATAGTCACTACTGAAAGAATTTAACCCACACAATTTGTTGACAGTTCCAACCGTCCCACAACAATTCCATAATTAGTACATCTGCTAAAGCCCAGTACATTAAAGGAAATGAATAAATGAGATGAACTAGTCAATGCAAATAGTGGCCCAATAATCTTCAATTGCCACAAGTAATTTCATTCATTAGATTAAAAAAATTCCAGAATTTCTAGTTTCCACCTGCTAATAACATACAACTTTCATTTTAAGCGTGTCTGCTTTGATGCAGATCACACATACTTTAGGCCTATATCACAGAGCTATAACACTAGGATAAGGATTCTTAACCTCCCTGGCGGTATGATTATTCAGGATTTTAGCATCCCAAAGCGGTACATTGTTTTTCATGGAAATTTGTTGTTTTATATTGTATTAAAACCATGAGAGTTATTTCCAGTCCAATGACATTTAAGAAATACAGTCACATGACTGAAAATAAAGATCATTTTTCTTATATTCATGAATTTATTCTTTTCAATGTTGAGCACCGGGGTTTTCCCAGGCACACTCAGAAGTCTTTATATTGTAAGCGGATATTTGATATTTGCTTTTCTGCCAAACAGTGCATCCAACCCCAAAAAGCAGACACAGGTAAACATCTATGCTTGTAGTTTACTAGTAAATGCGTCTAAACTATGATTATCCGTGGCAATAAAACCGGGATTACACTTACCTCTCCTGGAACTTTGTACTTCTTTAGAACGTTTCCAGTCTCACAGTCGATGACACAAACTGACTCTCCACCACATGTTGCGATAACTGAAAGTGCAGTAAATCATTACATATCTGCCTTATAATGTGAAACACCAGCCATTAAGGACGACTTATTAATTTCCTTCACTTCCTGTAACTAGCTAGACAGCTTGGTCTGAATGTTCCACAAAATATAAAATATAAATAAAAAGGCATCAATCATTTTTCTGAAAACAGGGAAAAGACACACAAGGAGGAACAATGCTCTTCTGCTTTTCATTAGGGTCTATCCTCCTAAGGGTAGGACCTTTAACCAGAGATCTGCTATAACCCCCAATAAATGTGCAAAGAAATATAAATAAAGGCATGTGAAATTTAACTTAGAAAAGGGATTTAAAGTGACATTAAACCCTCAGATTTTTTTACATAAAACAATACTGTAATGTGTACCTTACTGTAATCCATGGCCGTTTCCCTTCTCTTTGCTGCTCTTCCTTTTAAATTCGTATCTCTTCTCATGCTGGGCAGAACTTCTGTTTTGCAGCAGACTGCCTTGTTTCTGGAATGGCTACATGGTGTCTGTGTGCAGGTTCACAACCTGAGCCAGCACTACAGGAAGAGGCACTCAGCTGCCAAGGGAAGTTCTCCCCCAGCATGAGAAGAGATAAGGATTTAAAAGGAAGAGCAGCAAAGAGAAGGGAAGCTACCATGGATTACAGTAAGGCACACATTGCACTATTGTTTTATGTTAAAAAATCTGAGGGTTTAATGTCACTTTAACTAAATAGTATCATTACATGTAAAACCCACACACAGTTATCATAATATTTGTATAACCTTGGTACTTTAAGGTATAAAATAAGAATTTTGTACTCACCGTAAAATACATTTCTGGGAGTCTATTGAGGCACACAGGAATTCTGATACTGTTGGGTTACAGGAGTATTGCATGCTGAAAACCAAAATCATTGTGGGCCAGCCCAGTTTAACCCATCCCTCAGTTTTTACAGTCCAGAAGCAGTCCAACTGAGGGGTGAGCAACAGTAAAACAAACTACTAACCATAAAAAAACAAAACAAAACAGAACTGGGGACTGCCTGCAGCTCAAAGGGCTACCTGGAGGGCCTTGGCCCTGAAGCTGGCATCAAAACGATCAGGTAAAAGTAAACTTTGACAGGGGAGGGTACCAGTTACTATATGTGGGCAGCAGAGAACAAAAGAAGCTAAATCCACTTGCAATCAGGAACAGCAGCAGGAAGGTGCTTTCTCAATGGTGAGTGGCCAGAAAGAGAGCACAGAGCATGTGCAACACTTCACCTAGTTGATGGCGTCAGTGCTCAATTCCTCAGCATAAACCCCTCCCGTGGTAAAACAGGCAAAAGCGGGAATAAAAAAAAAAACAAGCTTGGCAATCCAAAAAGGTAGCTCCCAATGCTCGGCCCCAACAGCATACTAACAAACTGAGTTGACAGGTTAACACCTGGGGCTGTGCGACAGCTCTGGACCTAGAAAGTGCTCCGCGGCCAGCTTGCAGACCACACTCCAAACAAGCCCCATAAGGTCTTATTCACATAGGGCGATCTGGCATTCCTTCAGCAGGAACCTATGGATTCAGATGCGGAAGCTGTACCCATTTAGGTTAATGAGTGGTTGACAGCGGCTGCATTTATAAGTGGCAGTCCGCATTTACACGTATATGATATGGTTACATGCAGTTTGAAATAGATCACTGCCGCTGTTCGCAGGATAGATGTAGTGATCTATTCCAAACCGAATGTAATTGTATCATGCAGAGGCAGGCACTGTCAACTGGTCATTAACTTGAATGGGCACAGTGGCCACATCTGAACAGGACACCTGGGATTCCTTCCACAGGAATCTGTAGGTTCCTGCGGAAGGAAATCCGCAGGAATGAAATCGCCCTGTGTGAGCGAGGCCTAACCATGCGATCCAGCGGGGTCTGGGTATGGTCTCTAAAACTATTGCTGAGAAAGAGTCAATCTGCATATAGAGGCCAGCTCAGCAGCAATGTAGCAGGAATCTTGATTTAAGAGAGTTTATTAAAGAAAAAAAAAAGGAATAGATGGCAAAAAGGTTAGACTTGTCTCCGCAGAGCAGAAAAAAAAATGTCCATCTTCCTGGATACTAGCAAAAAAAAACATTTTGCATTCTGGGAGTAGGAGGGGTTATACTGTGCTGGCCCACAATATTTTTTTTACCAGTGTCTAATCCTTCTGTATGCAGCAGTATAACCTGAAAGTATCAGCATTCCTATGTCCCTCAAAAGGACAAGAAAGAAAGGTAACTTTACAGCTGCATTATTGTCCTACCTTTACTTGACAGAGAATCCAGAGCAGGCTCAAAAGCACAGGACCACAGCTGGGTGCGGAAATCATTGCTGCTGTTATTTTTACTGTGACACTGAAGAAAATGAAGTGGCTCCACATCAAATCCTTTCTGAAAATAAGAATATGTACGAGCTAATGAGCTGACATGTTTACATAATATGATACATTTCAGTGCAAAATTGACACTTGTCTGTGCTCATCCACTTCTTCCCCTTTTAGAAAGATGAAGAAATGTATGCAGCAGGTCAAGGTGAGCCTTTAACCCTCATTCACACAAGTAACAGCCAGCCCGTACAGATCCGTACTGCGCGCACGGCCGCTCCCGGGAAGGACAGGTTCTCCGTGTGATTACACGCAACAGCCGCCCTACGCTCACCCAAACTGCACGTCCTTGCAGGTGTGGGTGTCCGTACTGGTACACCGACAGGCTGGATCCTGTCTGTGTCAGAGCAGGAACACCCGCACGAATGTGCAGTTCAGGTGAGAGTAGGGCGGTGTACGGCCGCGTACTCCCATAGAGAAGACCAGCTGCGTGCAAATCACATGGAGCACCTGTCTTTCCCAGGAGCGGCCCGATACGGCCATGCACACAGCACGGATCTGTACAGGCCGGCTGTTACTCGTGCAAATGAGGACTTAAAGAGAACTATGGCCAAACCTTTTTTGGCTATAGTTCTCTTTTGGGTCACAGGAGGACATTTACTAATGTCCTCCTGTGACCCAAAATTTACTAATGTATTCCTGTGACCCAAAATTTACTAATGTTCTCCTGTGAAACTCTGCAAATAGGCTATTGTCCACTATACGCTGACAGGGCAAAGCCGCGCTGCAACCAGGATCCACCCTACTACCTGACTGACAGCTGGCTCTGCCTCTCTAGAGCCAGCTGTGCCCGCCCCTCTACCATCTGTCCCTCCAGTCAGCACTGGAATGGAGAGGGGGAGGGAATCCCTGTCAGTTACCGCTCTCTGCAGGGAGAAGATAAGGAACTGAGCGATAAGTGGTTTGTGATCGCTCAGTTCTCAAATCAAGAGCCGACATGACAGCTACAGTGTGCATTTCACTCTCCCCATAGTTCTCCTGTAAAGCATCATTTAGCTCCATTTTAGGAGGTTAAGCACCAATCTTAGAGTACTGACTGTAACTTCAAACGAGCGGCTAGCAGGCTTCAGTACTGCATAAAGCTTGTTAACCCCTTCGTGACTGACGACGTACAGTGTACGTCGCCAGCATCGGGGCTGTTTAAACAGACTCCCGGCGACTTTTGAGTTTTTAAAGTCCCCTGCCCCCGCGCGTCGCCACGTAAACATGCGTCGGGTGCGCCTACGTATGAAAACGACGAACGAGCTACACATGTTGGGTATCGCCGCGCACGCCGGAGTGAGCGCAATAATTCTAGGGCCAGTATTTTGGGGTATCTCTAAATTGATGACCTGTGGGGGCTTTTAAAGCGTCTTCTATTGACTTTTTGGGGTACTGCAGTTTCTCGCCGCTTCACGGACGCACGCAATTTGTAACCTATGCATGTTGGGTATCGTTTTACTCGTTGTAACCTCATCTTTTATATGTCATTTAAAAAATTGGTATTTTGTTGTGTTTTGGGGCATTAAATTAAATTTTTCACTAAATGTTGGGGTTTAATAAGGAGTTGCGCTAATATTGCGCAACATAAAAATTTGCAACTACCACCATTTTATTCTATAGGGTCTTGGCATTCAGAAAATATATAATGTTGGGGGGTTTTAAGTCATTTTCAGGCCTAAAATGTGGAATATAACATGGGTGCAAAAAATGAAAAAAGGGCCTCAGTCATGAAAGGGTTAAAAGCCTACTTAAGCCCACTAGCTGCTTGTTTAAAGTGAGAGTAAGCACTCCTATTAAAATCTATGTTTAACATTCTCATGAAGTTTCCTTAAAAGGCTTCAGGAAAGCAGATGAAAGCTTTACAAAATATAAGCTGAATCCCATGTGAACAAGGACTAAATAGGATCTGGTTTCCCCTGGATTCAAATATTTCAATGGCCTTCAGTGCAAAATACAATCCACCTAGGATACTATTCATTTGTAGTTGTAAAAGTGACCCTTTGGGTCTGTTTAGGAAATAATTACAATGTTTTATTGAGACAGAGTGTAGCGAACATGGAACTCAGTGGATGAGGCCTGCATATGAAGCCCACAAAATCTTGAAAGTGCCCACCAAAGCAAGGAGCCGATAGGCTGACAGTCAGCAACCATAATGTCTGATTACCCTGTGTAGAAATGACAGGTATTTTGTTCTTTACAAAGATGCAATGAAGGTGACAAATTTATATTTTGGCCACAAGAAAAGTCAGCACTTACTTTTTTTAGTTCCCTCTTCTGTCTCTCAATGTTTACAGATCTCTCCTCATCAAATCCTTTTTGTGATGGCGTGCTTCGTAGACTAACTTTCTGAGGTGTTGGCAAGCCACGCTTACCGTTTTCCTTAACAGGTGTAATTGGTTTACTTCTGACTGGAGAAAGTGTAATGTTTAGTTTATTTCTCCTTGGTGAAGATTTTTGTGGGCTTTCCGGAACTTTAGACAACCTTCTAGGTGACAAAGCATGCGTGATCACGGCGCTTGTCCTGAGACGCTTTGCAGGCGTTCGTACTTCAGGGTCTGATTCACAAGTACGCTTTTTCTTACTAGGGGTTACTGGAATCTTTAGAAGAAAAAAAACATGAAAATACTATAATCATTAAAAGGCAAAGGTATAGTATTTTAAAGGGTAACTCCACTTTCATTAAAAAGTGATACAGTATAAAATTGCTAATCAAGCCATTTTGTGTTATAATGTTTTGAAAATGTCCATTCCATTTCAATCTGCAGTCTGCCATGATTTTCTAAAGCTGGCAAGAATCAATAAATATAACTTGCTTGTAATCATGGCAACTTTGGGGGCATTCTGTATGCAGTTTTGAAAACTCTCCCAGAAATGTGTCTTCCTGGTCATCTGAATGACTGGCAGCAGTTTCTCTTTGATAACAATACTGAAAAAAGAACCTACCACTAAGCAGTGAGGAAGCAGGACGTAACTAAATGCAAAGTAGAGCACTTTACTTTAAAGCTCATTTACAACAACAACAAAAATGTATTTATATATTTTGGTGGATAAGTAACTCCACTTTTTTCTGAGAAAAAAAAAAATTAATCTCCTCTTCTCTGATCAATGTACATTGCAAGGATTTTTACCAAACTTTGTTAAGGATTCCTACCCGTTTCTGTTCTGAAGTTCTTTACAAATGGATTCCTGAAGGGAGGGTTTGGGCTCAGTCACACTACATGCAGTGCGTTCCGGCCCGATTTTGGCCAGAACGCACTGCCTCGCATTGCGGCCGGCTCACTTTTTAGTGGGGCAGGAGGGGGCATGGCGGGCCATTCAAGTGAATGGAGCCGTAGCCACGCCCTCCTGCCGCAATGCGATCCGCCGCACGGGATAGCAAGGCACATTGTGCCTGAGGTCCGGTTCTGTGCGGTGCGATCAAAATGCTACAAGCACTATTTTGATCGCACCGCACAGAACCGGACCTCAGGCACAATGTGCCTTGCTATCCCGTGCGGCGGATCGCATTGCGGCAGGAGGGCGTGGCTACGGCTCCATTCACTTGAATGGCCCGCCACGTGTTTAATATAATCAGCTGGTGGACTTTCTGTGTTCTAATGAGGAAAGCTGCAGTGTTGGCATCCCCTTAGTATCTCCCCAAAAAATTATATTGCTATTGCAAAGGATGCCTAAAATTGTGTTTGAATCTTAGTACAGACGTCTGCCAAAAGCAGTCAGCCAATCGCAGAAGCAGGAAATTACATTTCTGGGGGGGGGGGTGTTCTGTACACCAACTGTGTAGAGAACATGAAATTACAAATGACTTGTGTAGCAGTTATATAGGCTATATTCATTTCTTTACAATTTTTAAGTGGAGCTTTCCTCTAAGTTTTAAACAGAGTCAGGAAGGGTTGGAACTGTCAATATTTTAGTCTGAGGCAGTAAGAGCGCAGATCCAACGTAATTGGTGAGGAACTTACTTGTGGTGTCAGGGGTCCGGGCGCGATAACGGTTCTGGTGGTCTCCAGGTAGAGGAATGGGGGAGGAGCTGGAGCAGACCTAGGATTTGGCCATAGCGGCTGGGAAAGGTGTCACCAAGTGTAATGGTGAAACCGGGGATTAAAGACTGAAGTGGAAAGTGGATTTAAACTTGGCGCTGTGTGTGCCGGAGGGCTGGCAGGAAGGCTGTCCATGATCTTAGCCGCAGTGTAATTCAAACGTGATGGGGTGAAAGTGACAGTCGGCTGGAGAGGGGGGTGTGGGGACGGGGATAGAAGAGCAACGCGTTTCGAGGAGATCCTCTTTCTCAAGCAAGAGAGCGCTGTGCTTTTTTCTTCTTGTTGTTAATATTTTAGTCTGTCCTGTGTGATGAGTTTTGGATGTTCCGAGATTATTATAAGCATTGGAAGATCTCTCATCAATTAGTCAAGGAGTCTGCTGAACCCTGATGATTCATGGAAATCTCCATCAGTCAGTAAACATGGCGACAATGCTTACCTCTGTATCATCATTTGCAGATACTGGTTCAGGCTGTGGCTCAGCATCCTTTTTCTTATTACACAATGAAGAAATGAACTCTTCTGCTATTATATTCACCTGTGTGAAAAGTAAAAACAAAGCCCAATGTAACAAACAGAAAGTCAGGCAGAATGCACAGCTGTATGTAGCTCACTGAATAAGCAGGCAAGGAGCTACGATAAAAATCAGGCTGATGAGTAAAATATAAAAAGCAGATTAATAATAGCTAAAGCCAACCTACGTCCTAACAGTACACAATTCACGGTCCTATGGGTGCCCCGCAACAACAGATTGTTGACCTTGGTAACTTGACCTGGCCTCCCTGAGTTGGCTAGACAGATTAGGGGAGGGAGTTTGATAACTTTTACTAAAATGCATCTTGACAGCAACCTCTGACCAAGAAGTGCTGAGCATCCAGATATTTTACAATTTTACTCCACAATGTAGGACTATATTTGTTGTATATTTTGCTGTGGTGGGGCCATTCAAGGACTGTATCATTTTTTGTAGTTGTGTTTCCAAACAGTGTTTACTTGGCACCACATACTTGATTACCCCGAATTAAAATAGGGGTACTGGGGAAGAAGACAGTGTGCGCATTCAATATAAAACAAGAGTTATCATACATAGTTCACATTTGTGCATCTACTCCTGTACTGTTGAATGGCCTCTGCCTGTTTAGTTCTCAAGGTCTTTAAGATGCATATGCCATTGATCTATTAAAGTGAATGCAAACCCTAAACCTATTTTTCAGTAGGTTTGCCATCAGGCCTCACTGTATAGTCTTCTTAACATTCAACTGAACTTTTAACTTAAATTAGCGAAATACATTATAGGTACATCAAAGCAAAAAAGGTGTTCAAAAGTCTAGAACAAAAGGTGGGTAATTTGCTTAAAGGAGAACTATGGGGTTAAGGCTTTTCCCCATAGTTCTCCTTAGGGTAACGGGAGGACACAAACTAGCGTCCTCCCGTCACCCTAGGCTCAGTATACCGCAAGCTGCAGCTCGCGGTATACTGAGAGGCCGCAGTCGCGGTATACTGAGAGGCCGCAGCTAGCGGTATACTGAGAGGCCGCAGCAACAATTGTGCCGGGATCCGCCCAGCTGCGTGACTGACAGCTGCCTCTGCCTATCTAGAGGCAAGCCAGCTGTAACCGCCCCCTCCCCCGTCCGTTCCGCCAGTCAGCGCTGGCGGATCGGAGCGGGGAATCTAGCCCCTCCCCTGTCACGGCAGAGAGCCGTGACAGGATCGAGAGGTGAGCGAACGCCGGTATGTGTTCGCTCACCTCCCGATCTACTGAGCCGACCTGTGACAGTCTCATTGTCACAGGTCGGCTAGAACTATGAGGTGAGTGAAAAGCACTCCTCATAGTTCTCCTTTAAGGGGCCACAAGCGAAACTAGGACTGTTGTGGAGAGATGAACCAATAAGCTGAACTTAATTCTGCTAAATATAAATGTTACCACTTTACAAAAAGCAGTAACTTATATGGTTTCGATCATGCCCCCATTAGAGTGCCCCTTTATATTATTCTCCCCCCATACCTTAGTTTACTACTTTATTATTAGGCCAAAGGTGGGAGCAGGCTGTAGGAGAGGACAGAGAAGAGTAGATCCTCCTGTAATGCTGGGGGCGGGGAACACATTTGACATCACTGGTTGCTAAGAACACCAGCAGTCCTAGAAACAGCAAAGGAGGTGGACACCTGACATCATTGGTTGCTAGGATGCCAGTGGTCCTAGCAACCAAGGACTGAAGAGGACGGGGGCCTGACCTGGGTTTACGGCTGGCAGTGGATGCACCAGCCTCGAAGGCTGTCACATCCACTGTCAGCCAGCCGTAACCAAGTACAGGTTGGCGATTGTGGTCCTGGCAGAACCGCCACTTGGTCTGTGTCCTGGACAGGGACAGCCAAAGGGCCGGTTGTGGCCCAGGGGTCTATAAAATAGAAGTTTATTTTCTTAAGGAAGCAGCCATAGTCTGCGTAAAAATGCCTGTCTCCTAACATGCTGCAGAGAAGGACCCTTCCTCTCTGTGCAGTGTGGCAGTGCATGGCAATGCCACGGTGTAGTATGGCGACTTTGGCACCCAGGACTCGCAGCCAAAGGGGCTGAGAGGGTCCAGAATGTAAACAATGTTATAAGAAAGAGCCTGGCTTTTCAGGTCCTTCAAGGTTTTCCTAAATGTAGCTGGGATCTGGAGCTCTCTTAGAGCTCTGGGAGGGATGAGATCTCCAGTCCTGGGGCCAGGTGTTGCCAATGACCAGCTTGGGCTGATCAAGTGGCTGAGAGTTGTGTGTGTGCAGGAAGCACACGGACACAGACAAACTCAGGTGCGTGCTGGACGCACAACGAACAGCCAGGGGTGGCTGGGAGAGGTCAGGAAGGTCGGTGACCCTAGGACCTGTGGTACAGACTGCTAAGAGAGCAGAGTGAGGGCTCACGAGGGGTGAGCAGCGTGAGTGTCTTGGAGCTGTGGAAAGCTACACAGCGAAGCTAAAAGACTGTCCTTTATGTTGCGGCTAGAAACCGTCTTGTGCACAGGGGAGGTCTACCCTGTGGATGGAATTATATATTTGGTGTTTGCCCTAAATAAACTGCATTTTAATTGCACCTCCTGTCTACAGTGGAGTGTTCTTGTTACAGCAGAAACAATCATCTCTCTGCAGGGGTCTGACATGCCTCCTGCCAAATCAGAACTAAGGCCTGGTTCACACCTGGGTGTTTTACAGCGCGTTCCTACGCTCTGTAAAACGCTCAACATGTGAAAACTAATGATTGCCTATGGGCATGGTTCCCACCTGGGCATTTTACAGCGCGTAGGAAAGCGCGTTTCCGAGGGCTACCTGGCTGTATTCCCAATGGATACGGGCGACAAATACGCCCCAAAGAAGCTTTGGGCGTAGGGCGTTTTACAGCGCGTTCCTACGCGCTGTAAAACGCCCAGGTGGGAACCATGCCCATAGGCAATAATTGTTTTTTACATGTTGAGAGTTTTACAGCGCGTAGGAACGCGCTGTAAAACACCCAGGTGTGAACCCAGCCTTAGTGATACAGTACTGTTTTAACTTCACATGTTCTATGTTTAATTTGTCTCAACACCCTAATGGGAACCCGTTCCACCCCCAGACCCGATAGCAGCCGTCTGGGCTGCTATGGCTATAGTTACGCCACTGCTCAGGACTGTGAGACAATGATTTTTAAGCTGTGTAGTAACTGTAATAATCTATGAAGTCTTACTTTCCACTTGGTGAAGTCTTTGAGAGAGTTAGGACCATACATTACACGATTTGCCACTGACTTCAGAAAATCCTTACTGACAGATTTAATCATGGCAGGAGTGGGCTCGTCAGGCAATTTGTCCTTGTAATTCTTCTCCCAGTAGATTTCAACCTATGAGACAACATGAAGAAACGTATGCTAAAAAATAATCAGCTGCTGCATCTTTGATTGTTTAGCGTATAAAGTATGACAGCGTTTTATATAAATGATTAAAAATATGCTGAAAGCTAAACTCCTGCCTTGCATTCAGTCGTGCACAGCTGTACAGGCTCCTCTCCTTTACTGAAATTGCTTACTCTGCTTTCACTGCACACTGCCAGCATCTCACAGTGAGCATTAGAAGCTGCAGAAAGGAGCCTGTTTCATTTCCTAGCTGGTGGACATCCAGCATCTCGTACCCCTTTCCTTCCAAGGCTCACTACTCCCCTTTCCCTGGCCCTCCCCCTTTTTGATCTGCCTGCATTGCACAGAGACCTAGTAATGTCATCACTGGATCTCTAATAATGTATGTAAGGAAAGGTTTTATTTAACAATGTCATTAGCATGTTAATGAGGGGGGGAAAAAGCAGGAAAGGCAAATTAAAATTTAGCTTGAATTTATTATATTCACACACAAATGTAATGTCCTAGTCTAAAGTACATGGCCTTTTCTATGCTCTTGGTCAGTCCAGTGCTTGCTGATGTGTTCTGGGAACAATGCACTTACCCTGGAGCTCAATTCTCTGTGGATTACAAACCGGACATGATTGGCCAAAGATGTTATATCTTTATTATTCAATCGTCGCAGCTTAGGTAGAAGGCAGCACACTTTGTAATTATCACTGACCTAAAGGAAATAAAAAGCGTTAGAAACACATTAATCAAAGTGCTTAATATACTGGAAGCTGGGAAAAGTGTTAATTAATCCATTACCTAGATAGAATATGAAGCCTGTTGGAGCATATCTTGGCAGATACACAATATCCTCCTTCTCCTGTAAGCTCTTACGAGGAGGGCCCTCCTAACCCTATTGTACTGAAATTGTATTTTAACTATACTGTCTCGCCCATTTCATAAAGCACTGTGCAAACTGCTGGCGCTATATAAAGCCTGGATTATAATAATAGTGAAAAAACATTTACCAATGAAAGGGGTGCTTATAATGGTCAATGGTAAGCTTTTATTAAATTTATATAAAACCTTTATCCCAAAAGATAAAGGCAAAAAGATAGTCAAGTCTCTCTAAATCTGTGAGTACATCTAACTAGGGATGCACCGATACCAAGTACCGTACTCGGCACAAGTACAGATGCTTTTCAAGTTCCAAGACTAGACTAGAGAAAAATTCAAAAGTTAGGAGGCATCTGTCATTTGTAAGGAGCACACGGAGCTCCTGGGATTTGTACATCTATGATTTTGTTTTTATAAATAAGAGATGCACAGATACCATTTTTGCAAGTACAAGTACTGATACTTGCCCAAGTACTCACAAGTACTGATACATTTTTGTTTATTGTCATGTGATAGTTTTTCTAAAATAATATCGACTAATGATTTCAAGACAGTAGTGGAGCACCAGAGCCCGGTCCCAGCTGCAACCCGGGTAGTTCTCATGAAAATGCCAAGTATCGGCACTGGTATATGAAAAGTATAGGTGCATTCCTACATCTAACCCCCTCCATGTCTCCATTGCTCCTCTATAGGCTGCAGCCACCCTAGGACATGAAGTGTGTTACTGGCTGGATCACCAGGTGAAAATAAAGGAAAAAAGCCTATAAAAAGAAAAACCAATGCAGCCACCACATTTAAGGATTGTTAAAGCTGCAATACAAGAAAAAAAAAAAAAAATATTTTTGTTTTAGGTTTAGATATGCTTTATTAATGAAACAGGAGGCTGCAACTGCTGACATCCTTCTTAAAATGTCAACTGACTGGCTATTATGCCGATACTCTGGCTTCACTTATTCAGTTACTGACCTAGAACAAGTATGCGCATCAGGTAAGTAAAAATAAAGTTGGAAGTCCTCATCTGTATGCTGGTTCCAGGGCTGGCAATTAGCCTTTGCTAACCCAAACCATCTCACTGATGTATCAATTGTCAGGAGATTCAGATAGCTATGTGCAACAAACAGCCTTTATTTCAGAAAACTTTCACTGTGCCCGTGATGGTCTACAATCTCATGTTTAATTTACTAATTTGTATTGAGATTGTAGTCCATCACCCGAGCGAGCATGGAGTGGTGACTACATTACAACACACACAGGGACCATGAGAATCCAAAGTAGCCACCCTCCAGAACGAAGGACAGTGTCAGTATGAATTCAGAGATAATTTGAGGATCTACAGCTGAGTGATACACAAATAAAAAACATTTGTGTTAATAGTTAAGGTACTTGAATGTATTTTTAAGATTGAACTCCTGAGTTTAGTGTCACTTTAAATCTTCTATTGATAAAGATTAGAAATTATTTTTAGAAGTGTCTCGTTTAATGCCCATTCACACTGGGCGTTTAATCGCGCGATATCGCAAGAAGTCGCCGTCCAATGATTTGCAATGGAGCTGTTCTATTGAATAGCTCCATGTCGCTCGTCGCTTGTGCGGGACCCTTTTCCCCCACAATTTTTCTATTTCTGCATGCAGCCCGTAGGTGAAGGTCGCTGGAACATCGCTATCCCGGCCGCGCGGATTTGCTCGAGGTAAGTGTCGCTTAGCGTGAATGGGGCCTTATGGTTAGCTATAGTGCTGTGAATTTTCATACTGTCTGTTACAGTGCAGAGGTCAAAGATGAAACATGTCAGTTAAAATGTACAGACTTGGTGCTGCTGACAACAGAGTCACTTATTATACATAAAGCTCATTGTTGTTAGGACTAGCATTACCGAACAGCCAGCATAATACCATCTACTTACTGTCAGGTATAGGTTTTCTTCATACATGACTTCCTCTAGATTGGGAAACTGATGCAGAGTGGTTACATCCTCAACCTGATTGTCGGTGAAATTTAGCACCTTTAGTTTAGGAAGACTGATCTTCTCCGGGATCTCAGATAGACAGTTCTTGGAAATGTCCAGTTCTTCAAGATTTATCATTTGAGAAAAAAGACGTGGATCTAGGTCTTTTGTCTCCAGCTGCATTTTAGACAAGCTGAAAAGAAATCAAATGACAAACAATCTCCATTAGAAATTAATGAGAAGACTCTATGCATCTACACAGTTAGAAAAGCTATATGTGAAAAATGTTACCAACAATGTCTGTGGTTTAAAAAACAGCAACAAGCAATTGGTCATTTTAGAGCTATATTCAGAAAAATAGGCACATGCACCAAAATGGGTCACAAGGAAATCGTTCATCGAGCGAAAAGAGTGGTCAATATTACAGAAACAAACAAAACAAAAGTACAATTCTCTAAACCTGGATCACAGCAGGTCCCTCCCATTAAATCCCACTGTTGGCCGTATGGGAGTGTTCACTAAGACTTTTGCCAACACCATAACAGCAAAGAATTGGATCTATCAATTCTACTAGAAGTTACACTTTTCAAAGAGACCCACTGCTCTCATAGCTCATGGTCCGATAGAAGAACTGACTGCATTGTTCAGAGCAACCAACTAGATAACTGTGTCCTTCCTCTGGTGCAGATAACAATACAAAAGCTAAAAGATGACTTCTGGCAACTGACACTTTCATGAAGAAAAAAAAAAGGGTCCACTGTAAATATCTCCTGTGAATACCCCCTGTATGTGCGGAGGCAGAAGAGGTGGATGTACTTGAAGAGGTAGAAAAATAATCATAATCTCCATTAAAGTTCCATCTGCTTAGATGTTTTTCTTCCCTGCTCCATCCCTCCCCATCAACAAGCTAATAAAACATATTGAACTTTCTCTACATCTTTCAGTCTAGAAAAGGCACAACAGGAAAGAAGGAAGTTAGGAGCAGAATGTTTTTTTGTGGCAGTTAAACAGGTATGTTTCTGTACTTGTCTATTCTTTAAAGTGATAACACAAGGGGACATGTGCATGCATTACAGAGATATAATCAATATGTTTGATTTTTAACTTGCCCTGACATACACATTAATAACTAAACTTACCCGAGTGTCTTCAGATTCTTCAAATGGTTGGATTTCGGAAGGCCCTTCTTTAATAGGATATCTGTTGTTAATTTGGTCATTGTGCTTCCCTCCCAGCTTTTCCTAAACAGAAAGGGGATCCCAGTTATCATTTAACTCAAAGACTGAAATTGCAAGCGTTCAAAACATTAGGTTTCTCTGTCAGACATGATTCAATAATGGATCTAAGAATCACATATTCTTATACACAGAGATAAAAATATCTTCTGACACACAAATGGCATTATCTGTTATTTGGAGGTGCGGGTGGGGGGGGGATTACATATAATCAGTCCTCAAGATCACAGATCAAGGTAACCCACCATCAACAGTTTCTATTGAAAAATGATCACAGACCTCTCAGCATCAATCAGGGAACGATCTGCCCGCTGTAACCCACTGTGACACCTCTTCCAAACTACAAGCAATAAATACATGGACGCCGGGGACATGTTACAAGTACTGATTCATGAAAAAGAGGGAATGAACACTGAGCACTTGGTGTACGTGAAATTGTATTATTACTGCATTCAAGTTAAAGGAGAACTATGAGGTGAGTGCTTTTCACTCACCTCATAGTTCTAGCCGACCTGTGACAATGAGACTGTCACGGGTCGGCTCAGTAGATCGGGAGGTGAGCGAACACATACCAGCGTTCGCTCACCTCTCGATCCTGTCACGGCTCTCTGCCGTGACAGGGGAGGGGCTGGATTACCCCCTCCCCGCTCTGATCCGCCTGCGCTGACTGGCGGAACAGACAGGGGAGGGTACAGCTGGCTCTGCCTCTGGATAAGCAGAGCCAGCTGTCAGTCACGCAGATGGGCGGATCCCGGCACAATTACTGAGCCTAGGGTGACGGGAGGACGCTAGTTTTTTGTGTCCTCCCGTTACCCTAAGGAGAACTATGGGGAAAATCCTTAACCCCATAGTTCTCCTTTAAGCCCACAATGCACAATTTTCAGCAATGCTCAGTCTGAGGGCTTTGACTGGGAATATTTGACCACATAAAGCAACTTTATCAAAATCAATAAGCATATTAATCCTATTGGCTACATGATTTCTAAGACTTGGCTAGGTTTCCCTATAAGGATCTCACTTAAAGGGTTGATAAACCCTCAGCTTTTTTTGCATATATCTACTGCTAGCAAGCAGTAGATATATGCAAAACGTTTAAGGAAAAAAAAAAACGATTTAAACTTACCTGTCTGTGTCTTCCCTGCGCACTCCCGTCCGAAAACGTGAAACTGCAAGGGCGGCTGCAAAGCATCTTGGGATGGGTGCATGCGCAGTGCACATTTTCGGCCGGGACGCGAGGACAGACACAAGGTAAGTCTATGGACGCGTGCACCCGCATGCTGACAACGTGGGAGAGTACGTGCCTGCAAGCTCAGAGGTGTCATCGCTGGATCGAAGACCCGCCGCAGCGCTGGAGAGAAGGATGAAAACATCAGGAAAGAAGATCGGATTAAGAGACATCATTTAAGGTAAGTGTTTTAATTAACGTTGGGGTGAGGGAAAAAAAGATTTGCCTTTAATGTCACTTTAACTGTCCAGTACTACATACTGTATCTCAGGTGGAATTGTTGTCTTTAGAAGTGCTGGATCATTTCTGTTGGAACAAACAATATACCTTGCGTACTGGTGACTAAAATTCCAGAAACCAGGCAGCCAATGCTCCTTAAAAAAATTACACTAGGCGAATTTCGGCCGGTTCATTGTGAAATTCGCACAGTGGGTGCCGCTGTCGTCACCCTTTCGGCTGGCATCCCTCGATCAAAAGGGCTGGTTGGAAAATCTTCGAAGGAATGGTGCTAGCAGCCAATCAGCTACAATCATCGCTTTTGTATTCCAACAGCAGCGGCTGCTATTATATTACAAAGGAAACAGTGGGGGATTACCTTAAGAGCGTTGAAGGAAGAATCTGTTCTATTTTTTTGGTCAGCCCGTGGGTTGAACAGAAAAAACAACAAAAAATAGAACAGTGTATGGGCCAGCTTAGCTTTGGAAGTCTTCTCAAGTTGTTGTCGATGGAGCTGGCGCCTGAAAATAAATCCTGCTGCCTCATGGATTGGGAAGACTGTCTTCTAAATTCCAAATTACTTTGTTGCATCCCATGGTATAAAACCACTCCAGTCTTGAAGAGGTTAACAGAAAATGCTGCCTGAGTGAGAACACGTTCAATGTATTCAGAATTCTTTTTCAGCTACATCGATTTACATGATTGTAACTCCATGGGGTGTCCTTAGACTAAAGGTGCAACATGTAAACAAGGCAGGTTTTAGCATTGTCTGCACCTGCAGAGGTGAGGGGGTCACCATTATACAGCCAGATTCAAGTGGCTCCGTTTTTGTCTACAGTGTGTCTCTCTGTCTGTCTGTCCATCTATATACACACACACACGCGTATTTACCATTCTATCATACAGCTATTTTTTAGAATATATACATTCATATTGCGCAAGTATAAAAATGAAGTTTTGCTAGAAAAAAACAAAATGATTCCAAATCTAAACTTTCCTTTTAATTTCCAGTTAATTTATACCAGTGATTCCCAATGTTATTAAAGGATGTCCTCCCCACAGATGCCTCTGGTATGGGTCATGTAATATCTTATCAAGTACCCCTTGGTAAGTGTATAATTACTAGTACAATAGATTGGGGGAATTCATAAAAACTGGAGCAGACAGAATCTGGAGCAGTTGCCCATGGCAACCAATCAGCGTCTCTTGTCCGATTGTCCAATTAAAGCGTTGAAAATGGAAGATAGAAGGTGACCGGCAACTGCTCCAGTTTTGATAAATACCCTCTATTATGTCTTCCATTCCAAACTATCGTTCTTTCCATCAGGACTTGTAACTGAGATCTGGTTTATACAGAATGATGCATTTTCTCATACTGTAAACTTACTATAAGACCCCCCTGAGGCCAGGATTAGTACCCCCTGGGGACACCTACCACCAGATAACAACCAGGACTTTAAATAATGGCGACAGTAAAAATTTGGAAAAGGCTACCAAAGAGACGATCAGCTATAACAGATCAATAACAACAATGATAGTCACATCACATTAGGAGCTGAGGCCAGAAATCATCACTAATAATGAAGACACACATTCATCATCTCCTGTGTATGGGGGACTTGTAAATCATTGACACATATAAAGATCGATGATCACTAGAAGGCAGAACACAAAGGGGCTGATTATGTATAAAACATGTTGGCAGATCATATATGTTCTCCCTATGTGGGCTACATAACAGCATGCGGAACTACAACCATACATAATTATATATTCCTGCTTTGTATCATGTCTTATCATTTCATCTAGTAAATGTGATTCAGCAGAATGATGTAGTAATTGTAGTGATTGTTCTATGGAGGTGAACATACTCACCCGGCTCCGCTGTGATCCGTGTGCTCAGTACAATGTTCAGCCGCCCCTCTACTACCAGACAACTTCACTTTCAGAATCAACATCGCAGCTCCCGCCGGACTGTCGTCACTTCCGGGAAGTGCATATCTCCCGGAAGTGTCGCCGTGCTGTATCACTACACATGGCTGGTGGTGGGAGAATTGCAGACTGTGGGTGTAAAGGGATCCGAACCTGCCTGTTGTGTGAGTCGGCCAAACGGCAGCTGACCGAGGAGCCACCCAAGGTATTGACCAATGTCATGACATTGCCCTTCATGCGGCTATTAGGTTTCTCGGATAATAAGAAACCGTGGCTATTCTGTATATATGAGCCCGTAATTGGGGTTAGAAGGGGATTAGCAGTTGCCAGAAGCTGCATTAGGGCGCTGGGAAACGCTTATTTTGCTCGAGGACAGTGCTGTAGGTTAACACTAGAGGGCGCTCGCTCATCTCTGCCATGTCTTGAATCATGGCAGGCAGCGTGAGGGCCTCACAAAGATCGCCGCCGAAGCCCATAGATGCAGACATTTAGGTTACATAGAGCGTCCTCTAGCGTTCAGATTTGGTAATGTCTGAGCTGAGACAGCTAAGGCTGGTGTACATGGGCATAGATGATTATCCGTAATATTGATCAAAGCTGTGGGCCAGCACTGGGGTTTTCATGGCATGATCCTGGTCACCCTCATGTCCAGCTTCTGTATACTTATAGAGTATTCATTTTCCTTTAGACTCAAAAATCAAATTCTACCATTGCATCCCTCTATGTATGATGATTAATAATAACACACACATGTCAGGTGAAAAAATGCTGTTCTTTATGAAATACTTACACTTGCAGAGCATTCACTTCCTGCTTTGAAAGGGCAAAATGACCTCAGTTTGGCAAAGCACTGCACACAGGGGTTGCCTCTTCATCAGCAGATCATTGCTGGGAAATCTCATTTGTAATCTCACAAGATCTTAGGGAAAGGCATTTTCCTCTCCTGAAATGATGTGCATGGTCACATGTGCCAGAAATCCAGGAAGTAAAAGTAGAGCTAGTAATCTGCCCTTAGTAAGCATGGCCACTGTCAGAAGACTGGGAGAGAATACAAAGCCGGCAATTATCGTGCAGTATGTGTTTGTAGATTGCTGTTACTAAACATTTTTTAAGGTACCTTTTATTGTTATTTTAAAGAGATGGGTAAAGGTCCACTTTAAAGCTGAACTCCAGACTTACATTTTTTTTAACACTTGTAGCGAGGGCCACATACAGCTACATACAGTGACAACTGTGATATTCTGGGTGTGACTCCAGTGGGTTCCCCTCTGCACAGGGAGTAGAGTGCTTGGCACTGCTGTCATTCAGAGAATGCCTTGTAGCATAGCCTTGGCATAAGTGACTCCCTGTGTGCGGAGGAAAAGTCGCTGCAGCAGCACCTGGAAGAGCACAGTTGTCATTGTATGTAGTGTGGACAACTACAGCATTTTTTAGCATCCCCAGCAGCCTTCAGATACAGCTAATTATATTGAGCCAAGCTAAAGCACTGTACGTTTGCAAAAAAAAAAAGTACTTCCTGGAGTTCTGCTTTAAGCAACTAAGCAGAAGATTGCACGGCTAAAGTCTGCTGCACCCAATGGCCAGCATGGAGGAGGTGTTCCTTCAAAAAAAGATCAGAGGCAGGGTGCTCCTGTTTACAGGAGGTTTACCCTCCCAACAAACTTGGAGCAAAGAGCAGCAGGCAGAAGAGGTGATGACATCACTGGGTCTCAAAAGAGAAATTATCTGAAAACAAAATGTAATCTATTTGCATGTTGATCGGGGGGGACAAGGGACAGTATTATATGTGGGCATTACACTTCAGCCTTCAAATCTGTCCCATGTAGGTCTGAAATAAAATGTTTCTTTTTTATATTATTTTGCAGACAAAGGCATTTATCTACATCCCAACAAAAGGCAGAGCTCAGGGAGTGAAAAACTCTGATACAGCTGGCTGGTGGTTCCCATACCCAGGAGTGTGTTTGATAGAAGATTTTGTAACAGAAGATGAGGAAAAAGAAATGGTGCACACTATGGACCAGGAGGAGTGGAGACTCTCACAGTCTGGACGCAGAAAACAAGTACGTTAATACTGCTGTTTATAAGCAGAAACTGAGATACAGACTTTGACAGTTTACTCCTCTTCATTCCCGTCCATGTTCTTCAGGGGAGACAATCTCTTGATTGACCACTCTTCTCTCACTGTCTCTGCACTTTCAAGACACAAGCATAGTCACAAGAATGCAGAGAGAGTGGGCATGCAGGAATTGGCACAGGCATTAGAAGTGGAAGGGGAGCCTGGTATTGTGTTGGGAACGTTTAGAGACGGTGTTATAAGAACTGTCAATCAAGTGGTCTTCTCCTTTGCAGATTGTGGTGTGGAATGAGGAAGAATGAACTGTCAGTCTGTTTCTCACTTACTCTTTCAACCCAGAAGCATGGGATAAAAAGCAACAAGCCCCGTGGGAGTTCAGTGATTAAGCTGTGAAAAATAATACGAGCTGAGACTTCTTTAAGATAGCAGCGGTGTCTGGAACTCTTTTAGGGCTGGTGCAGACCTGGGCAATCCGGGATGCACGTCCCGGGACCGCACAATCGTGTGCGGGTGCACACAGCACTTCCTGCGCTGCCCCATTGCTTTCAATAGGGATACATCCATGCTGCAGTTGCTAAAAAAAAAGGGTACATGTACCTTTTTTTTTTTTTTTTTTTTTTTTTTTTACGACGCGTGGCTTTTTTAGCGCAACTGGGGTGCCTTAAGAAAAGAATGGCACCAATAGCGTGATCAGCGGTGGTTTGCTACTCAGTGACCGCACAGTCACGGATCGCGCAAGAGTGAACCTGGCCTTATAGAGCAACATTTTCACATGCCACCTACCAGAGCGGCAAGTATAACTCTTCTTTTAGCAGCTGCTGGTTTAACTTTGATGGGGTCACTTTAAAGTAGGGCTGCGGAAATTAACGATTAATCCCTCGATTAATCGTTAATTTTTTTGATCGATCAAAATTATTTTGATCGATCAAAGTTCTTTTGCTCCGTACTCACCTCTCCGCCGTCTTCCGGGTCTTCCGTCGGAGATTCGGTGACGTCACGGACATCGACGTCACCGGACTCCTCCCCCTTCCCCAAGTGGCTGTCGGCTATGAAGGGAAGGGGGAGGAGTCCGGTGATGTCTATGTCCGTGACGTCACTGAACTCCTCCCCCTTCCCTTTGTTACCCGATGAAGCTGCTTTGGCCGGTGAGTACACATCCCGGCCGGGAGAGAAACACTTTTTACCTGAAAGGTTTAATCTGCTCAATCGAGCAGATTAAACCTTTCCCTGCGATCGTTTTTTTTTTTTTTTAGATTTTTAAAAAATTCGATTAATCGAACAGGAAATTTTTAATCATTACAAGCCCTACTTTAAAGTAAATCTAATGTGTTTTGAATCTTCAGTAATTAAAAGGTACTAAATAAAGATGCTTGAACGTATCATTAGATATGTGCTTAAGTGCCTCAATTCCCAGGTTGCTCTATTTTGACATCTGTGGAGAAAGTTGAGCTTCAATCCCAAATGTAACTATTGCTCATTGAATCCATCTGCACTCCAAGGCAGCCTTTCTTAACTATTTTAGAATGGGCCCACTCACACTGGTAGTCAGAATAAATGGGAGCGGGGCCCCCTTATACTGGTGGCCAGTAAAAAACTGGAGTGGAGCCCCCCTTACTAGCAGTCAGTGATAAGAATGCCCTGTTACATGCTGTAGGTGGTCCCTGGGAAGAATGCTTACATTGGTACTCGGTGTATTGCCCCCTTGCACTTGGGGCCATTCATAAGAATGCCCTCCTTACAGGCAGCTAATATGCTTATTGGTGTCAGTGGTTACTTACCTGGGAAATCAAAGGAAAAACTTGATTGCCCCAAGCTGCTGCATCTGCAAGGTAGCATTGGTGCCATAGCTGTACAGGCACTAAGCAGGATATCAATCCACTGCTGCTCAAGATATACCTAGCAATGTCTAGAGGAACCCTAGGATTTCATAGAACCATGGTTGAGAATTGTTGCTTTAAGGGACCCAATATAAAGTTGAAGTAGGCGGCAGAAGTTTAGTTTTTTTTCACCTAAGTGCCATGTCACACTAACTGTTCTGTTGCTGTTGGCAACTCGCCAACAACAGGTTCTCTCGGTAGGCAAAGAAATCACTAACCTGTTTCTTAAGCATCGTTCACATTGCAGGCCGGCAAATAAATCACTAACCTGTTTCTTAAGCATCGTTCACATTGCAGGCCGGAATAATAAGAGGCCGTTCTGTTTCTGATCAATCAATGGCAATTGAGATTTGGGCAGCATTTTAGCCAGCAATGGAGTTACACTGTAGAAGCAGGCACGTGTTCTGTTTATCAATCCTGTTCCTTCTTGGGACAGGGTCACTAGTCTGACATGAACCTATGTTGAGATATATAATAGCATATTCTTTGTTTTGCATGCTTCTGGGGAACTCCACCAGCTAATAAAATGTGTAGGCACATGTATTTCCCACAGAATATGGTTAATTAAACAATAAGCTTAAGACACGGCAGGTTTATGCTAAGCTCTTCACTCAAGCTCTCCATAGTACTCCAAGAACCTCAAACTGTTTTCCCAAAGTCACAGCATATGTGCACTCATGAATCTTATTTGTCAATTCCCAGACCTGGAGAGTGGGAGCGTGCCTATATTTCCATCATCAGGAAGTTATGTTTTGCCTATAAAGTTTGAGGGGCCCTTTGGAATGTCCTGGGGCAGTGATTAAAAACGGTTAATGAGAATTGGCACTGGCATCTGCAGATGTTTCCAAATTTTTTGGGTTTCAAATAACATTTTATTGAGATCAATTTGGGGGCTGCCATTGCTGATCTCCTTTTACATACTAGTTGTGTGGCTGGTATGCTGATCTTCTGGTTTTAATTATTCCACTGGTCTGAATGACCTGGATAGTCAGAATTGCTCTGTTTTAGTGAATCAAAGTGTTCAAGCAAGAGGGTCATTTTGACAACTGGTAGCTGGAATTTACACAAAAATTGGCAATTACAGCCTCTGTTTTCTATCTAAGGGAGAGGTTTCCTTTAACCCTTTTGTGACGGGAGATGTACACTGTACGTCCCATCACGAAGTGCCTATATGACTGGCCACGTACACTGTACGTGACGAGTTATATCAGGCTTTGTAATGCTGGTAACAGCTTATTCTCAGCAGTTACCAGTCATTAATGAATGCCTCAGTATTGAGGCATTCATTAATGAAATAGTTAAGCTTTTGTAAAAGCTTTTTTCTTTCACTAATGAAAGAATGAAGCCGTTACATGCAAATACGGGACCATAGCGATCCTGTATTTGACAGCTGAAAATAGGTAGCAGAGTGAGTCACTTATCTGCTATTCATTTTGACAGCTGATAGCCCAATGTTTATGATACATTTCACCAAAGAGATACAATGTATCTCTTTGAGTGAAATGTATCGGACTTCTGATCGTCTGGGCCGATCAAAGACCTTTTAGTGAGATCTGAATCTGACATGCTGTCAGGATCAGTCTCTAAGGTTATTATTAGCTGTTCCTAAGTTTGGAGCAGCCTAATAATAGCCAAAAATGTAAAAAAAAAGTTATTTTTTCAAGCAGTCATCAAAACTTGTGAAAAAAAGTGTTTTTTTTTCCTAATTTTTTTTATATTTTATTCAAATTAAGTCAGTCATTTATGAACAGAAACGGAAAATAAGCTCAGTCATGAAGGGGTTAAAGCCTATTTCCAGCCAACATTTGTGATTTTTATTTTGGATATAGTAGCCAGGGGTTAGAGTCTTTGTTAGGTTTATATTTTGGGGAGAACTCCCCATGCTCCCCTATCCTATCAGTGTAGGAAGTCATGGGAAATCTTTCCAACAGGGACAAATAAAAAAACAAAACATTTTTTAGTATAGCTTCCCAGAACCTTTGACAGTGTTTTAATTGTGGTCTGTCTTCCTGTCCTGGTGACAACCAATACCACATTTCTTGTACTGGTTTCAGAAGTGTAACAGGAACAAGAACGCATAACATGAGGTCTCATAAGGACAAACATTTAACAGAAGTGTTACCTACCTCCCCCTTTACAACATTTTTTTTTTTTTTAACAAGCACATGTTTTTACTTTATTAAAATATTGGGAGCTAACCGTGTACCTTCGATGGCTTTATAGCATACAGGGATTTGAGTTTTTTTTGTTCCTGTGAGTGGCCACCCCTCATCTGCATGTCATAGCTGATCAAAATTGAACCTCAAATAAAATCTTTAATCCCATTAATTAAAAGTAGGGTCCCCTTTACTGGTCTGTGTAAGCTGTCAGTCAGCATGATGTAGTGGTCAGGGGAGAGCAAAGTTTTTTTTGTTTTATTTTTATGATGTCAGACACCACACTAAATGTCAGTCGGTGTCTCTTTCACTGCAGCCAATCAGTTGCGTTTAGTGACTTCTGAAGCTTCTATTTTTTTTTAATGCCCTGCTTGTTTTTTTAACTGGAGTTCTTTGATAAATATGAAAGATTTTATCTGCATTGTATTAATTACCCATTAATTATCGTTATGCAGGATTTTGGTCCAAAGGTGAACTTTAAGAAACAGAAGATAAAAGTTGACAGTTTCACTGGTCTTCCTAACTTCAGCAAAGTCCTGTGGGAACGCATGAAGACGCACACTGTGCTAGAAGGGTTTCTGCCTGTTGAGCAGTGTAATCTGGATTATAACTCTGACAGAGGATCTGCCATTGATCCTCACTATGATGACTCTTGGCTATGGGGTGAGAGACTCGTTAGTCTGAATCTTCTTTCAGATACAGTGCTTACTATGACGAGTTCTTCCACAGATACATTGCAGCTCTTATCTTCTGGAAATCTAAGTAGTGAACCAAATGGAATCCTTGATCTGAATGTTAATTACAGCAGTCATCTGAATAATGCACAGTGTGTCCTTCAGGACTCTACAGCATATAGTGAAACACAGACTGCCCTAGTTCCTTGTACGGAAGTGGAAGTCGCTATATGTTTACCAAGGAGATCTTTGGTGGTCTTATACGGAGAGGCGCGGTATAGTTGGAAGCATGCTATATACAGACAGCACATCAAACAGCGCAGAGTTTGCAGCACTTTCAGAGAATTATCAGCAGAGTTCATGGCTGGTGGTGTTCAGGAAAAACTGGGACAGATGCTGCTAGAGATAGCCCTTGCTTTCCAGGGAAAATCAGTTTAAAGAAGATTATCATTAGTGTGTCTATTTATTCTTTATCAATTTTAAATGATATTAAAGTCAAAATGTTTTCAGCTATTTCAAAAGCTAATTAAATCACTTACAATGGATGCTGATACTTGATGCTTAAAAGTTTGTTTCCTGCAGAATCAGCTGAGCGCTAGCCCTGATATTCTGGTTTAGGGTGGCTCCTTTCCCTTGCAGGGTCCTATAGAGCCACCCTTGTGTGTGATGTCTCCACAAATGCACAGGTGCAGCAAGTTACGACAATCCCCCGCTCCTTCTTTCTACCTTTTTCCCTTCTCCAGATGGACAGCTGCTGTAGACTGCTCTCTCTTGAAATCTTGTACTGGACAGGGTGTTCAAGGAAGCCGATCTGAGAGAGTTGGAGCCAGCTATTTGGAAACATAATAGGGGGAATTTATCAAACCTGGAGCAGACAAACTCTGGAGCAGATGTGCATGGCAACCAATCAGCTTCTCTCTTCAGTTTGTTCAGTTAAGATTTGAAAATGAAAGAAGCTGATTGGTTGCCATGCACAGCTGCTCCAGATTTTGTCTGCTCCAGGTTTGATAAATTCCCTTCAATGACTCTCAAGTGCTCAGGAAAAAGGTAAATACATAATTTGCAGGGCAATATATATTTGTTGGATCTTCAAAAAGTTAATTCAAAAGAGTTCAATACCACTTTAAGTTATTATGTATAATGTTTTAATTCATTCAATCAGAAGATAGTTTCTGGTCAGTTTATTTTACAATGTATGATGATTATAAATAAAAACAGATGTAATTTTCTACCTGTGATTATTTGTTTTGTTGAACATTGCTATCACATTAAAAAATAATCTCTCCAATCATGTTTGTCCCTTTAATACAGTAACATGAATGTGACCTTCACTCAGCCCCCAGCTTTTACCAGGACCAAGACTTCAACTTGCAGAATATACTTTCTGCTAAAGCCCAGTTACTGTGCTGTGTGAGGTACCGTAACTAGGTGCATTGCTTTGTGTTTTCACCCTTCTACTGGGAGGTGCATTGGGGTGCCATTCAAATTAATAGCAGTGCAATGCACCTAGCTTAGAGTACCGTGCGCTGTGCGATAGCACGCGCTAAATGCACAGTTACGTGTGCTTAGTGCAATGCTACAGTTTGAATGTGCTCTTATAGTTTCCTTTAATCCATTCAAAGGGTTCCCAAAGCGGTGTGAGTTATCTAAAAAGACAGCACAGAGGAAGAGAGGCTGAACCAATCTCACTGACACTCTTGACTAAGTTGTATGATAACTTGTCTAATTCATTTACTTCTATGTGTAAAATTTGGCTTTGACTATTGAACTCTGTAAACAGGAAAGGGATAGCCTGGAAAGCATCAAAAAAGAGCCTATTACCTCATGCGCCATGGTATTTGTTCAATACCTTGCATTCTCTTGCACACAAGACCTCTTTAGTTTTCAGACCTCTTCATGAAAGATTAGGGGGCCTGACACCAAATACATGAACCTTTTAAAAATTATGATTGGTACACACCTTTTAACATTTTTCTAATGCACTGTAGACACTGATGTTGGTATTTCCAACACAAAGTACAAATTTGATGCCATACAAGTGTTATGTTGCCTCCATGCTCTCGTACCAGAGAGACTCGTTGCTAGCTACAGCATATCTGTGCTCACAAATATACTTTTCAAAACCAACTTAACGTATATACAGAAGAGACTATAGCACCACATACTACTACATAAGAAGAATGAACAATATATAATATTGACTAAAAGAAAAAACTATTTAATATGTAGTATTTCCCTGGCTATAAACATATTGTATGTACAAAACCACAATACATTCCCTTTACACTAAACATTAAGAACATAAAATACTATGGGGGATGTTTATGAGCGCTGTTGCGCTTTGAGTGACCTTTATAAATGCACTTGTGCTTTCTTTCCAAAAGTTGTGCCATGTGAATGTGTACATTTTCAGTTCCTATTGCTGCTGTTCGAATGTCTGCGACTTATCTTTCATGGGAGAGCTAAAGGCTGTGTCAAGTCTGAACCCCTCTCTGCAATCAGCTAATGTTGAAGGGTATTTACTGTTAGGGGAGGCACCACTGTACCTATTCAGACCACTATCTGTAGCAGTATCACCCTCATAAATTAAGGTTGCTATACACAGTTTTAAATTCGGCCGATTCCTGCTGAGTTGGCTGGAATCGGTATCATGGGTGGCCAACCAGCTCCACAAAAGAAGATTGAAAAATCCAAGGAGCCGGCTGGAAACAGCTGCATTCAGACAGCCATGGGTGCTGGCTGTGTAAATAAAATGGCCTAGCAGGGGAGATTCCTCTATCCACACTATTTAGCGTGATCACTAATTTGCTGCTCACTGTTCTCCTTGCTGGAGACTCGGACATTGGGAAGCAAAGCCTTGCCTCTACCAAGATGACCACCTTCACACAATGCAGAACAAGGCACGGGAATGTTAGTAATAAGAAAAGATCAGCTGCATTGATACCATAATCTATTCTCATGACTAGTCCTTTGCTCTACGCCTGCCTTTTGTGGGCATTATGTTTGTGGTGTGGTGTGTTTTAAACACACTTTTTTGCACGTTAATGTGCATTTCCTAAAGTGATCTTAAAGTTAAAAGGTTTTGAAGCCATTTCAAATGCTGAATAAATCTCTTACAATGGATGGTGCTCCTTGATGTGCAAAAGTTTAATTTAGTGTAAAATCAGCTGGTCCCCTGAGCCTTGATATCCTGTTTTAGGGTCCCTTGCAGGGTCCTTTGGAGCCACCTCTGTATGTGCTAGTAAGCTGTGTGTGTCTTCACAAACACACAGGCACAGCAAGACCAGCCATTCCCCTGCTCCCCCTCTTCTTCCTTTTATCCTCTCTCTTCTCTAAGCTAGTACATGGAACGTTGCTGCAGACTGCTCTGTCCTTTGTGATCTACTGAATAGGAAGTTCAGGAATGCAGAGCTGAGAGAAAAGGAACTAGTTGTTCTGAAAGGTGATGGCTGTAATTGCTTGGGCAAAATTTTAAAGAAATAGTTTGCTGGGCAATATACAATATATTTGTTTAATTTAGATTTATTATGGGAAAAATGTTTGAGAGTTTAATGCTACTTTAAGACAGGGGTGCCCACAATTTTGGTGTTACAATCTACTTTTCAAATAACAAGCTACATGAGATCTACCAACAAAAAAAACCTCCCTTGCTCTCTCCTGGCTGTCTCTCCTTGCTCTCTCTCCTGGCTGTCTCTTCTTGCTGTCATTCCTTGTTTTCTCTCTTGGCTGTCTCTCTTCCCTCTCTTGCCTGTCTCTCCTTGCTCTCTCCCCTGGCTGTTTCTCCTCTCTTTCCTGGCTGTCTCTCCTTGCTCTCTCTCCTGTCTGTCTCTCCCGCTCTCTCTCCTGGCTCACCTTGCTGTACTTTGCAGTGTAGTGCAACAGGCTGTGTAAACTAATATTCTTTGATGTAATACATAGCACTTCAACCACCAGAATCTACCAGAAAGGTGTCAGGGAGCTTGGCTCAGCAGACTCAGGCTAATAGGTAATCATGTGTGCATAGCTAAATAAATATACCAAAATGGAATAAAGGGGCCACTATTCACACCCTTCGTGATCTACCAGCATCAGCTTTGAGAGCTACTGGTAGATCACGATCTACCTAATGGGCACCCCTGCTTTAAGGCATTCTGATGCTTCTGATTAACCCGGTCTACCCTCTGGCTTCCAAGGACTCTTCTATATGGCTGAGTGTAACCTCCATCCCTCTCCATCCAGGATTGCATGTAGTAGGAATTAACCTATTGACTACTGGGACTACTGCTCTCATCCGCCACTGCTAACTGCAAGTACAAACTTATTACTGGATTGTATTCACACGCGGGTATACTACGTTATGCTTGTTACATGTGTTCTTGGTGTGTGGGTTCCCTGCAGAAGGTCTAACTAACTCTTCCTCTGCTTATTGGAAAACAAGATCCCTAGGAAGAACTTTGTTACTTGTATGATGTAATACAGGTTGATCTAGACTTTACACACAATCTAATTTGTAAACGCATTGTTTGGGGGTATGAGTAATACTACCCGTATGTCAGTGCAGGACTTCAACTTGCCTTGTGAGTTAAATAAGCTGTATGACGTGATTACAGATATTCTGAATGCACATCTCTACTAAATGGAGCATGCATTAGGTCTATAGCACCAGTACCATTGTAAAGCTTCATCCACGATCCTGAATGGACTACTGAAAGCCCAACTTGCGTATAGTCTCAGCAACAGACAGCTGAAGCTTCCTCTTCCACAGTTGTGATCCACAACAGGTAAATACAACTCCTTGCTATTGTGTTACACCTGGTCTACTGCAGTGGGTTAAACATACACACATTATTGCATGTTAACATGCATGTCGAAAAGGCAGGCCATTCATTTGAATGGGTTGCCTAACACACCAGAAAAGACCAAAAATCATGCATGTAGTATTTTAGGTAGTGTTTGCATGTTAGCGTGATGCAAAGGCTATGTTGAGGTGCTTTTTAGAAAGAAAAGCATTGCATTACACCAAAGATTATAGCACACCTCACCACAATGCTATTGTTACTGAACAACAGTGATGTGAACCAGCCCCCTTACAGTTCATTTTCTTTAGAAAGCAGCCACAGCCTCTGTAGAAAAGCCTGCCCCCTGCCAGAATGCTGTAGAGAATAGACATGTGCACCAGCAAAACATTCGTTTAGTTTAGTTTTGAAACAAAACAAAAAAAAATTGTTTTTAGTTTCGTTTTTCGGGTCCGAAATTAAATTAGTTTCGGACGAAATTCGTTTATGGACGAATTTCGTTGCAGCAAAATTACATTAGGGTAAAAAAAAATGAAATTTTTTTTTTTTTTTTTTACAGTCTGCAGAACATGAAAAAAAAAAAAAAAGCCTGAGGTTCCCCCCCAATTCATACCAGACCCTTTAGGTCTGGTAGGAATGTTAGGAGAATGGCAATTCAAAAGCAAAGAAAAAAAAAACAACTTTATTCCTTAA